TGAGAAAAAGGCGTGCACATCGGAGAATGAGCCACAGATCCCCCTGGTACTTGATTGTGATGCTGAGGGAGTCTTAAGAGTTTGGTGGTTTTCTTGGTCTTAGTGTGTGGACTGGGGTTCCCCTGGTAGTAGGGTGTGAAAAATCGGTCTGGTTAGTGTCATTGCTAAACAAGGGAGAAAGAAAAAAGATACCTGGCTTTCAATATAAGTTTGTTCTCAAGAAGTTAATCTACAAACTTACTTGTTTGCTTCATAAACTTCAAGGCCTGGCCAGTTGTGAAGTAAAAATGAAGCTGATAGGAAATTTGGAACAAGTATTTAAAAATTCCTGGCATAGACACAGCTGATATATAGTAGTAACTTTATCTTATCACAGTTATAAAACAGAAGGTAGGTGCTTTTTTCCTTAATTCATCAGCAGGACTCACATTAACTTAAACTTACAGCTTTCAAACATGCAAACTCTGCAGACCAAAGGAGCGTTCATAATTTTGTCACAACAAGCCCCTGTGTTGGCAATGTATGAAATCTGTCCTTTGCTCCTTTGTGCAGCCATCTTCCAAAATGTCTGTAGGTGACAGTGCTTCTGAAGGTGTATTTTTATTGCACCATGTTGTAAGTGAAACAGTGGTCTAACTACATTGGGTTTTATGAGGAAAAAATGGTAAAACAATCTATACACCCTGGATATTTTGGGAAATATTTTGTTACAGACTTGGAATTTAAGCTATGATGATGCTGATGATGTATTTGCAAATAAAAGCTCATTACATCTCTTCCTACCGCAGGAATAGAGACCACATCCTGTTAAATGTTGTATGACTAATTTAATTTTTACAAGTGACCTCTTAATTGCAGTTTCTAAATACTTTTCCATGATGGTGTGCAGTGCAATAGCTGTTTCTTGGTTAAACTTGTGGATTACATGCATTATTTTGTGGTTATGCTTATGTTAATTCAGGATTATGGGATGGTTAAAACAGGGGATGCTTATCTGCTAAGTGGAAAAAGGTTTCTACTCTGATCAGTCCGATTAAGAAATCAGGTCCAAATTGCTATGAAAAATAAGAAGTTCAAGCAACTGCAAAGCAGGGAGCAGTTACTAGTCTGGGAAGTAACGTAAGTCTGGGTTTCCAGTTATATTCCAATTCTGTTTCTCAGGGCCTGCTTTAAACTCAGAGAGACCCCCCAAATGGTGCAATTCATGACAGTGAAACCTGAAAGCAGTCCTTTTCCAGCCAGACTGGAAGATTGCCTGTGCATCTTTCATCTCAAATGGTCTCTCTTCTAACAAATCCCATTTTCTTTTATAGTCCCAGCCCAGGTCACTGGGCTATATGATTATGAGAGATATAGGTCTTGCAATTTGAGGGATATCTTTGAAATTCATTGTATTTGTTAATGCATATTAATTTGGGATACATGGTTTCTTGTCCCTTTACATCTCTTCCCAGATTGTTAGAAGTGGAAGAGGAAACAAAAACTGCCGCTGGGCAGTAGTGATGGCATAGTAGCTAATTTTTCCCTTGTGAGCTAAGTTCAGGGAGGAAATGGTATTTTGGTGTTGGAGCCTGCAGAGATTGCATTTTCTGGGGATGAAGGGTAGGTTTTGTTTTTCCTTTTATCAAGAAGAAATTCACTGAAAGAGATCAGAAATTGTTATCTAATCATTCAACTTGAGAAGCAAGAGTTTACAAAAAGCTTTCCACCCAATATCACAAAGTTTGTAGTAATATACATATATTTGGCAGCACTTAACCATTAGGATTTGACTTTGACATGTACTAGTGTATACTTACCTTTTCACCATTTTATCTTTTAACTTGAATGCGAAAAATACCATTCGTCACAAGTAATCCTGGCAAACTTAGGGGGAAGTTTCCCATTGAGCTAAGCCAAACTAATGGCTCATTACTGCTGAAAAGTGATCCTGCTCCTCTTGCTTCACTGGTGGCATAACTCTTCCCTTTCTTGTAGCATCAGCTCTGTTTTGCCAACCTCATTTGCCGTCGGCAGAATCTGTGAAGGTATTAGAGATGTAGATGGTCTCTCTCAAGTAGCTGTTCTTTCTGCCAAAATTTAGTGTTTACATCAATACATAGACTTACGGGGCAGGGGATGATATTGCAATGCGGGAAGTGGATCTGGCTGAAATGTTTTGGGTTTTTGTAGTTTCTTACACGTCTGACAAAAAAGTATGTTTAAAAAGTAGAAAAATGATACTTCAGAGACTGTCATTGCAAAAAAAAAAAAAAAAAGTCGTTTTGCATTACAGATTACTTTAGTTTTAGGTTGCATTCTGTCTTTTAATTTTTTTTTTTTCCTCTCTTGCCTAGTGTTACGTTCACAGCACCAAGGAATATTTTGTTTCTCATTTTTAACACTGTCTCTTAATACCATGGGCTTTTTCTTGCATACTGTGGAGTGTATGCATGCTTTCTAACTTAGCTTTACCTCCTTCCTGCATTGGGAAAGCAAATTCAGGATGAAGGGAGTTAGTAATCAGTTGAGCATTCCAGAATCTCTGTGTGAGGTTAACGAGTAGAGATGCAGTGGGAACATGGGGAAGGGCTAGCTGGGATCTGTGGGGAGAGGCTGGTCCTGTACAGCAGCAGCCAAAATGTTGCTTTGCTGTGTAGTTTCCTAGAAGCAATTATTAGCAGGTCTTAGTTTTGGGGTGGGTTGTTGGGTTTTTTTGCCTTGCTCACTGAGTTAGCTCTCAGGAGGAGCTCTCCTCAATAGAAGCGGTGAGGTATTTCGTTGTTGTTAAAAGTAGCACAGTTGTTTTCGAGGATTGATTGATAAGAATTAGGAATGCTCATTTTTACTATTCTGGTTTTTTATGTGTTCGCGCTGGTCTACCAACTAAAATCGATGTGTTTATTGATTGTTGTAAAATGCTTTCTACACAACAAACTGGAAAAAGGATGATAAGTTGGTAAGTTTGAGAGGCTGCATGATGTGCTCAACAGTATTTAGTTCTCCTCTGATCATATGAATTCTCCGCTACAAGTCTTCATGTGCCACAAGCACCAATGAGTGTAGATTTCAGCAAGTGATTCTTATCCTGGGATCAGTCCCTGAAGTTGTCACAGTGAGAGCGAAACAATGTCCAGTAAAGCAGCTGCTGTGTAGAAGCACCATGAGCATTGTGGGTGGCTGTGGGGATGCTACAGGTAAAATGGTGGCAGCTCAGTGGCAGCATCAGCAATACCCTTCACTCTAGGAAGGACTTGAAAGTTGACCTCTCCTCACCCAGCATGTGGTTATCTTTGCTCAACTTCTGCATCCCCAAATGTAGTGGCATTGACATCTTCACTAGAATTGCAGACAACCTGAGTTGGCCATGAGCTGACAAATGCTGGTGGGAAGCATCGACACTGGTCTATCAGTTGCATAAGATTTCAGTACCCTGTATCTTAGATGTTTCTGGGCATTCAAGGGGGAAATCAGTGTTGACTTTGTATAGCTGCAGTGTACCTAGTAGCTCATGGTGATGTCAGGTAACCACCTGCTACTGGAAAAAGTAATACCAGGGATGCCTTTCTTTTTGGTTGGTCTGTCACTTTTTTTCCCCCCTTTATGTTCTCAAGTAGTAATAATAAAGTCCTTAAAAGGTCCCATGTGGGATCCATGTTTGGATCTCATAGCTCTTAGGGACATAATAAGGGCCAGAATGGTCTTTAATCAAATGGTCACAAAGAAAATTGCTGGGAAGGTAAGCTGTGAAAAAGCCAAACGAGGATTTCCTATGTCTCCTAGAGGATATGCCAGGACAGCTAAAGCAGGATCTTCTGTGTTGTGGGAAAAACCTTTTCACCACAGACATCTTGAAAGTGACCACCTTGGAGGCTCCTCATTCCTTCTTGAGATGTTGCACAACTCAAGACATGGGTTTTACCATATTGGGCAAAGCCATGGTTTGGTTTGTTCTGAGCCTCTGAGATGCAGGCTCTGGGTGGACTGGTCACCGTTTTGGCATTCCCAGTGGTGGAATTGTGTGGACAATCAGATCGCTCAGAGGAAGAGGAAGATTTACTGACATCCTTATCCACATTCCAGGGCTTGCCTTTCATCTTCTCATCTGCATCACTGAACCACAAGAGAGAGAGGGGGCAATTAATGTTCCACCACTTGCAGGGACAAAGCTCGAGGGGCTTCTGCTGCTTTCGTCCCTTGTATGTGCTGTGAATTCCTCAGAGTTTGGGTATATGAGGTACCTGCACAGCCACAATGGAGCAGATGATACAGCTAAGGAACGTTTTAGTGGTTTGGTTCTCAGGCAAAAGACCTGGGGTGTTTTTTCTCTCCAGTATTCAAGAATATGCATTTATGATATGTGGCCTGTCTGTGCTAGTGGAATGTAAGTGACAGAACACAAATGCATTAGATCATGAACTGTCATTGACCTCTCAGCAACAATATGTTGATTAACATCACCTAGGGACCTACGATTCTTTTTTTTTTTTTCCGTCTGCTTCTTGGGGGAGGGGGGAGAGATGTTTAATCAAATTTGGAGAATTATCTTGGCTGACAGCAGTAAGTCTAATCAGATGACAGAATTCATGTCAAAGCTGTTAATGTATAATTTTATTTGTTTAAAAGAGATTGCTTGACTTGTAAGTGGATGCTTTCACTTACAATTTTATCGAGTACTCCTTATTACATATAGGAGATTCACTGTTAATTTGTTTCTCAAGAGCAATGCTTTATCTTGTTAATTTAGTGCCATGTTCAGTGCATCTTGTTCCTTTACATCCCGTTTTAAGAATTACATGATCGAGCTGTCTCTGTATGTGTTATCTATATGCAATATATAGATAACTGACCTAATGATGTGAATAAAATTTAAATTCTTGAAAGTGGTTATTTTGATAATTGCAGGTATTAAAAATCAGATACATTAGTCTTATTTAAAGTTCAAACAGGTTATAAAGTGGGTTTTTAAATCAGCTTTTATTTGTTCTAAAAATATAAATAAGTCATAAATCTCAAATATTTAAAAAACATAAGTTATACAACAATTTTTCTGGCTTCTAAAATATTTTGTTGTTAAATACATATTAAATAAGTTGATATTCTGGATAGTACCATTAGAAATGAAATAAAATACGTCCTGTGTTTAAATTATTTCGAAATAACAAATATAAATAACTAATAAATATTTTAAATACAATAAATATGTTCCTAGAAGGAAATGAGAATGTATATAAATGCAAGCCATTGTTACTATTTCTGGTTCTTAAAACAGAACAACACTGTCATCTGCCACATGACAGATTTGTAACAAAGGATTGTGCCTGAATTAAAACATTCAGACACTGAAACTCCTGGTGTTTTTCAAATAGCGAACAGCCCTCACAGTTTTCTCCATAAATGAAGTAAAGTCTCGGAGGATGAGGTGGGTGGTGATTTTCTCTATCCAGGTCTTATCGGACTTCAGCTTTGTGCGGAGGGATTGCTGGGTAGCTGAGTCAGGGATGGTCACTTCATCGGGATTGATCACCTGTGAAAAAGACAACATTGGGGTGCCCCAGTTAAAACACTGTAATTGAGCTTGTTGGAGAGCATCTGTTTATATGTACAGTATGTTCCCGAACAGCTGCATATCCACCCTTCCTGTGCTGCGGACGATAGATCTCCCTGGGACCTCTGCTCCCCTACAGCCCTCCTTCTGTGGTGGGGTTTGAGGTACGCTGATGCCTGCTATGATTACTGCGGAAGAATCGGAGGGTCTCATCTGGTCTATACTGTTTGTTCTGGTTTGAATGCAACGTCTGGCATGGCGGTCCTACAGGCTGCACTGAGCAGATTGGTACACCTCTCCTGCTATCTGCTGACTGCGTGGTTAGTTGGGAAGACGCTGATCGTGATTTGTCCTAACCTGTACTGGGTGTTACATCCTGAGTCATAACTTAATTAGATTACACTGGCATACTCTCACATTTTGTAGTAGATTAACAGTTTCCAAAGATGTCAGACTTGTTTATCTGCTTAATTCTTACTTTCCAGGCATTTAGGCACGTGGGAGACTAAGGGTCAATGACTTTCACTGATGTGTGGGATCCTAACTGCAAGATGAGTAGAAGGAGTTATGTACTTAATGCTGAGTGACAGTGCTGGGCACCTGGTACCCAGATGCCTTTTAAGAACTTGTCCTGTGAAGTCAGTAGGTGACTTCTGAAAATGCGAGTTACCCAAATCACAGAGCTGGTTTGGAGGATTTGGGATATAGAAGTCTAACAATAAAGTATCTGCTTCATTCTGGTTTTAGGATCTCTCCTACCCTTTTACAAGTGTCAAAAGCATGTGCACCTCCTTCTGGAACATCTTTTTTTTTTGTGTGAAATTCAGTAAGATATGAATATTCTTTCTGTCCAGACTACTTGGAAATGAATTCTGATCACACATCCAGTTACTGGTATATCCAACTTCTTGCTGCATGATGTAAGAGTTTGTATCTGGATATCCAGACAGGTATCATGCTGATGGATCTACCTGACCACAAGTGACAGATTCTGTCCTTGCTCTCCTTGCCTTAAGTAGCAGATAAGCTTCTCTCATAAAGAAAAACTTCCAACCTGGAGATCAAGACTCCTCTCTTTTTCAAAAACTGTAGTTTCTACAAGTTACGGGGTTTGCTTTTGATCACTGATTTAATTCTGCCTGTTCCAATTAGCTCGATCCTACTAATTTTTTTAAAAAAGCTAGTCTCCCCCTGTTAGGAGACAAGCTTTCTGCAAACTAATTTATTAAGTTGGAAGCCAGAAGTCAGCTGTCTTATGACAGGACTATTATTCTTAGCTAGCACAGCGTGAAAAAAGTGGTTCAGCTCCCTTTCACTTAAAGAATGATAGACATAAATAAATGTTAGGAAAGGCATGGCAAACACACAACGGGATTTTCAAACACCAAAAAACACCTTGAGGGAAATAATGCCCAGAGATTTCTGCAGTCCTTCATCACCTGGGTGGTTCTTACTCAGGCAAATAGTTTCCCTGATGACAAAGGAAGTATTCATGTTAAGGGTTATTAGCATGAGTAAGAACTGCAGGAATGAAGTGAATTTTTGGAGTGTAATCTTTAAAAGCTCTCCAAAACCTAGAAAACGACTGTCAGAAACAAATAGCATTTAGCTTACCAAATCAAAAGAGAATCGGGTATTTGTATAGAAGGAAGATTATTTTTTTTCCACAATGATCACATGCAAAATGTCTTCTTTTCAATAGGCATCACCTTTTGTATAGTCAAGTTACTTATGTTCTGAATTTAACTGTCTTCCTTGCTTTTTAAGCTACTGCTATCTCAATATACCATACGGCTTGGCTTAAAAGTTTGAAGAGTTTTAAAGATTAATAATATTGTAAAAATGCTATTTATGTGGGTTTTTAAAAAAAGTTGCTTAGTTCTACTTCTCAGGGGGTTGCAACATGAGAAGGCTTGGACTGAACTGCAGTTCCACAATTAGGAACAAGCTCCCTGAAAAATCTTATTTCTTATTAGCCAGGCAGCATTAGTGCATTTGTTCATAAAACAGTGACACACGTAATTGTTGGTTCGGAAATTAGAAATAACAATAGAAAGCAGGAAGAAGAGTTGTTTCCTTAAGGAAAGAAAACAAAACGTTGTAAAACCTGTAAGTTAGTCATAAGATTAAGTATCTGAGGATAAGGAGCTATCACCTGTTTCCAGTGAGAGAAATTAAAGTGGGAAATGTTCAACTTCAGATTCCATTCTGTTTCTCTGAGTACACGTCAGTGCTAAGCCATAACAATTAGCAGAGTAAATTTAAAACCAACTCACCATCTGCCTTATGGTATGTGCCAGGTGCTCTGTACTATAACATAGCGATTCAACATTTTGCTTTTCACTAGTAAAAGTTTCTTGTATGTATTCAAGGTATGTCTGAAACGTATAAAGTCCGCTTGAGATTTTCTTCAAGCATTTATCCTGAAATAAGAGAAAGGTGAGAAAGTCACCTACAGCTCAGAAATGCCTCGGTCGCGGTATTGCGCGTACCGCGCAGGTAAGGGGATGGTGTTTATACAGAGCGCGGAGGGCTGTGCCACGCCAGAGCCAGCTGGGGCCGGCACAAATCTCGAGGTCGACTTCCCCAGCTTTTTGGAGCAGGCAGAAATTGCCCCGGGTGTATGGGATTAGACTGGAAAAGAGAGCGGTTCCTTGCCTCATCGAAGCCGGCGAGCATGCACCCATCTTCCTCCGTCACCTTGGGGAGATTGAGATTGTTCTGGACGAGCATCTCCATGCTGTTCCCGCAGATGGTAAACTTCTCGCACATCTGGGGAGAGACACCGAGAGGTTTCGTCGCACCTTGGCCGGAGGCAGCCCCCCCTGGGCTGGGGGTGAGCGTCGAGTGTGTGCGAGCCCCCCGGCCGGGCGCCAGTGTGAGTGTGTGCGAGCCCCCCAGGTGCGAGTGTCGTGTGTGAGCGTGGGGTCCCGCCCGGTACCCACCCTGTCTCT